TAATATATATATATATTCTCTGCTCTCCCAGAGTTAAATTTGAGAGAAATAGAGAGATTTTTCTTTAATAAAAATAGAAAATACAAACACATAATAAAATATTTTTTACTATGGAATTAATTTATATCAAATAAATTTATCTATATATAAAAAATATACATATAAAAAATCTAAAATATCCTGTACATGTGTTGTTTTCCATTCTTGAATATTTTATTTTATAAAAATTTTGTTTTAAACGTAACATATTCCACTATACTTAAATATCGTGAGTAGGAAGCTTTGCCAATGATACTAACCATGGTCATCAAAGTGTTTTTCATAATCAGCTTCGCTCCATTGGGTTTCATGAGTGGTCGTCGTATCGTGTGGTAAAGGACGTGGTAGTGCGCTCGTCGAGCGCACTATTAATGAAGAACAACGTAACGATAATTCAAGTGCATCTAACCAACATTTGCCTGCCGCTTGGGATGGCGCTCGGAAGATTAAGTAAGACGTTGGCAAAGGTTGTACAACGGCGCCTAGAAAATATTAATTTGATTTGTTGATAATTATACGGTTAAAAAATTATTTTTTTTAACATATCTAGTTACATGTGAAATATATATATCTATTAGTGACTTAAAAAAATTAGATATACTTTATTAATATATTACACAAAAAACAAATTATTATTTTAAAACGTAGTCTGATTGATATCCAATTTAGCAAAAATAAATAATAAAAGTGATCTTATTTATAACATATATATATATATATTAATGACTGAGATACAATAACATACCAATAGCTTCTTTTTCTGGTCCTCGAGGAGCCCATATAGATTGTTCCAAAGGATGAAATAATTTAAAACAAAATCCATCTTTCTTACTTGGACGTTCTATGACTTGACATGTATTAAGTAATACAGTTCCCACCCAATGGTTACTCTGTAATAAAGATATAAAGCATAGTTATAAAATGAAAATAAATATGGCATAATTGTGAAGAAAAAAGCAAATATAAACCTTCATTTTTGGACTTTTGTATAGTAGCAATAATCCAGGTTTCAGAATACACCATAATTTGGTCCAACTTTTTAATGTGCCACGAACTTTTAGCCAATCACTCATAACAATAACAGTTGGGTCTTTAAAAGAGCTTAAAAGTTCATTGGCTACTCTTTTCTTCTCCATTCGATAATTCTTTCTTTGGGCCTTATACGATTCCTTTCGTGTTAATTTGCAAGAGTCCAATGACTGAAAAAACATTATTAAAAGGTTTTATATGGTTTTCAAATTAGAAATAGACTATATTTTATCGTATTTGAAATAATAAAAATGCAAGACGTCTATATTTTAATCAGTTATATTTAAAAAGTACTTTGAAATGTAAAAGCTATGTATGTGTTATATTTCATTATACATTAAACATGAGACTGCTAATTAGAATAGTTATCTGTGACAATTAGTTATGATTGAAAACAGAGAATTACCTTGTCTGATGAATTGTCAACTTTTTGACCTTCACTCATTCCGGAAAGTCCTATAACATATATAATTTTGCATTACTTTTTAATAAAATATATTTTATACAGTAATAATCTCTCACACAGATAGTAACATTAAGGAAAAAATACAGAAAAATATATATGCTTCTATAGAACATATATATATAAGTTGTTATATTATAAATAATTGTTTTATGTAAAGTAAATCACAAATTAATACAATAGAAAGGAAAATTTTTTATTGATTAATTAATT